TTCTCTCTCTCTCTCTCTCTTTTTGGACCCCTTGTGATTCCTTCTTTGACAGGTTTAACTGTAAATAGAAACCAAACTTGTAATTTGTATCAGTGTTTGTACACTTTTTATGAATTTTGTTCTATTTAGTATAGTTTTTAGACACAATACACAATATACACATAGTTCTTTCAACAATGGTTAAAAATGGATGAATTGCTTTCAAATAAACATTCAAACTTTTTCATTTTGACAAAACGTTTTGGCGATTTTACATTCCTTTGGAAAATTTTATTTGTTGCAGGTGTCGGAGCTAAAAAGACTCAACAATTTGATACAAGATCAAGACTTCTTTGCATTGAGAGTTTTGAAAGTGCCAATGACCAGATATGGCATTCTGTCAGAGCAAGTGGCTCGTGGAGAGCTTGGTATTGATCACAAGCAGCTTTCACAGCATGCCAATGGGGCCATGTTTGCTGCTCATTCAGGTGCGGACATGTCGAGCAGCTACAGGGATGAAAGTGACTCTCAGCATGATTTCAGTGATCCGGATATGCAGTTGAAAGTCATGAGAACTCTGAGCATTCGGGAAAACTTTTCTGAGGAAGGAAGAGAGGCTGAAAAGTTTCTCCGAAAAATGGATGCTGACCTGAAAAAACTGAAACAGTCTTCCACCAGATCCTCAGATCAAGAGTCATTGAACGAAGTGATCTCCATGTTGACCAATAAAAGCATTCACCCTCTTCAGACGAGCAACTCTCGCCGTATAACGAATGGTGCAGACTGCGGGCTTACCTTCAGGAATATTGTGGTAGTGTGTGTAGCTGTGGCCATTATTGTGCCCCTGGTTGTAGGCCTTGTGACATTGTACTATGGGCATGACTCAGAGTCTGGTTCTTGATAATGGTTCAAGCTCGTTTTGTCTTCCTTATTTGAGAACATTGTGGTTTGTGCCTTCCACTGGGAATAGATTATGAAAGAAAGGTGGAGTGCTTTTGTGTGTTGTTACCATGGTCATGGCAGGTCCAAGAATTCTATGCTGTATACTTAATTGGATACTTTCAGTTTTTACATGGCTACCTGTGGGCTGAAACATTTTATTGTACAGGTTGAGGATGTTGTTGTAAATGAAATGAGCTTTACTTGCAGATGGAATCATTTCTAAAGTGTACGCAAGCAGCTTTTGTTGCCTTTGTCAGTTTCTGCTGAAAGGATGGACTGCTGTCTGTGGCTGAGATATTAGTGCTTGGAAGAATTTTGGAAATGTTTTCTGAATCATGTACACTTAAATTGGTTTTTCAAAGATGGAGGTTTTAAATTTCCATTGGTAAGATGGGCCAACATGGTGTGGAATTTGTGTTTATTGGATTTTTAAGCATGATGCTGAAAGATATGTAATGTTCATTCGTTTAAATTTTTTTCTATGAAAGAAATTTCCTAGCCAACTGATAGCCTTTAAGGCAAGGTCTGATTCTCACTGGTGTGAAATGACTCTTTGTGGTTGATAGATACTGCTCCAGGGACTCTGGTGTGTAGATTTCATTGTTGTTATCTGCGACCTATAGCAGCTGCTTGCAGTATTTAGAGTGGTACAGAAAAGAAAATGCTGTGGATGTGTTTGAGAAATTAAAGGGAATAGCCCTCCCCCCACTGGTTACATCACTTGAACTGTGTGTCTGCTTTGAGCAAAAAACACAGAAATGTTGGACTGTAATGTTTTGTTAATCAAATGTTAATCAAATTTTTTGTTTGGCTGGCACAATCTCACACCAATGTGCATGTTATAATGCCCTTTAAAAATTTAAAGATAGACTTGGTCCATCCATGAACCAAGCTCATAATTGCAGTTTTTATGGGGGTTTTTTTGGTGTGTGTGTGTGTTGGGGGGGGGGGGGGTGTGATGGTCTAATGAATATATTTTTTTGATTGTAAATTTTTGAACATAGTGTTACTAGTTTAATGTCAGTGCAATTTCCAAGCCTTTATATATGTGTCACGATGCGGTGGAATCAGGAGCTCGTCAATTTTGGGGCATATGAAGTTTTTGGGATCATCTTAAAGCCTGTCCTTTGCGTTGCTTTTGATTTAAAAAAAATCTATTTATCATGGATACTAGTCAAGATATATGGGCTGTTGAAGGAGGTGGGGGTCGTCTGGTTTCAGAGGTAAAATTAGTGGGAAAATGGCTGCCAAAGTTGAGTTATTTCCTTACGTTGAGAGTCCGTGGAAACTGAAAACTTACACCTTTAGTGCCTTTAATCAACTTTTTTTCAGTAAAAATCTACACAGAAATGTGTTCTTTAATGCACATGAAAAATGTTAGCCAAAAAAAATAAAAATTCAATAACAATTTCCAAACATGCGGAAAAATGCCAGTTTCTTGACTTTCATTATAATGACGAATGCCTGACTTCATCACGCCGCCTCACTTATATGTAATTCATAGCAACATTAACTTGTTTCCTTGTTTCACAAAAGGTCACTCTGTTCACAAAAAGTCTGATCATGATAATTTGTGTGGTTATTTACAGACATTGGAGCTTCTTTTTGATGTTGATTTGAAAAAAAGAAGAGTAGATTAGCTTCTAGAACAATTTTGAAATCAACATTACTTGTTGGTTAATGTAGGAACTTGTGTAAAGCAATATTTGGAAAGTTTTTTAAAAACCGTCACTGGCTTTGATCCTGATAAGTTTCTGATGTTTACTCTATTTACAGTAATTTTAAAGTTTTCTACACACTTCAGTTAACAGTGAATCGTGAATTAGCAAGACATGTGACTAGTGCTTTGGCGTTGCTCACAGGTTTTTGTCCTTTTTTAATAACTTTGAAATTGTTCTTTTCTAGGTACTGATTATTCTTATTTATACGGATTGGTTCAAGGATGCACTATTGTATCTTGTTTTGGTTGGGTTTTTTTATTGTCGGTTGTCCTTTTTTCCCCCCAGCTCTAAATGATGTTTTTTTTTGTTGAAATGCTTTTGTGTCCTAAAACGAAATTATACTGTTTCATAGCCTGTTATAGATTTGGTTTTGGTTTTGTGACTTAAATAGGCCTATGCAGTAAGGTTTTTAATGCACAGTGACAGAATGTAGATTGAATTGAAGAAAAGTCCATGTTCTGAGGTGACTGCGGTGAGTTTTTAGTGCTGGTGTTGTTGGGACACTGGTGGCTCACAGCTGTCTCAAGTAGCAGGCATTGGAAAGGATAGAAGGGCCTCACATGCCGGCCCAAGTCATTGTGTCCTTTTGATCTGGTGTGTGTGGTGTAGGACAGAGTGGTGGCCAGAGAAAACAGACTTGTGTTTTATTTCCGTGTACCCTTAGGGCAAATTTTTGTTTTTGTGTTGGTTGGATATTAGTCTGATGACTAATTGGTGTTTTTGAAAAGGAAAAGATATTTTACCATAAAAGTCTTTAAAAAATTTTTCAAATCAAGGCTTAAAAGTGAAAACTGAGATCAAAGTCTAGGCAGCTGCTGTCTCTACGTTCATTGTTGGCTGTTAATAGGGTATATCCAAAATTATTTTCATTTTTGTTTTCTTACCAATGGTCTATATATATCTATCTCACTTTTTACATGGATATCTCATAGCTAGACATAACATATATGTATGTAATGTAGGCTTTGGATAGACAAGGTGCTCATTCCAGACCGAGCCAAAACAGTTTTAATTCAAGTGGATGAGTCTTGAATATAATAGGTTGAGTGCAAGTCACCATAAAATAGTCACAAGTCTGTTTTGTCCCTGTATGTCAGACTCCTTAGGATTCTCATTTGTCTTTCTCCAGAGGAAACCTCTCAGCTAAGTTCCCTATCTCAAGGTAGAGCTTTACACCTTTGAAAAGTCTTGTATTATTTCACAAATGGCATTAACACCTCTCCAGCATGTATGGAATCTCTACTCATCAGTATTTTGCGCAGTGCAGTCCTTAAGTATTCCTACCTACTTGCAGTGAACTCTGAAGTATCAATTTCCCTTTGCCTCATAATGGACATGTAAGTGCAAGGCATGGAGGTGACATAGCAGAGACTGGCATGAAGGTTTGCAGTGCCTTTTAACTTTTATGCAACAGTAAAGTTCATGTAGATCTGTGCTGAGCTGTGGATACTTGTTAAAAAAAAAGAAAATACACTTTTATTGATTCATTTATAGAGAGAGTTGTTTTATGATGACATGATGACATTTAGTACTGTGCCATTGCTAGTCATCATCCTATCTCTAAACTAGGGTTAATGAGCTTTGTTTATGGGCGCGTCTCACTGAGGACATGTACAAAAGCCATCATTGACATTCCTCGATGCTCTCTGTTAAAGTCTTATTACATAGTTACAATTAAAAAACCAAAAAGACAACATTGCCTTTGAGCTAGTTGTTTTTACGCCATGTATTCTCTCCCCGATTTTTATAGAGACATATTAAAAGACTGTTATGTTCTTTTCTTATGACCAGTGATTTTATAGTCCGTTCTGTCTCTTATTAGCATGTTGAAAAGATTCTTTGTGTTCAAGCAGTAGGCTTTTATTCTGCCATCATACTCCTGCTTTCACTGCCTTCCTTCTTACACAGTTACATGTTCTGGAATATTCCAGCTGTCAGACTGAATGAAAAAATAGAGCATGCGCTACCAGGCCTGGCACCACGGACTGGTGGAGTGCGAGGCTTGATCTCTGCCATCTTCGGTCTGGCCGGCTCTATCAAATTACACATGATTTATCGCCGAGTCACCAGCCCCAGGCCAGCGCCATCCGCAGTCTGGCTTGGGCCTTACAAGTGCAGCCACTGCGACAGGGACTGTCATTCTCGTGTGGGTCTGTTCAGCCACAGCAGGCGCAGCTCTTGAAAAATGATCTCCTACGGCGCAGATCTATAGTCTCCAGAGACTGAAGGATTCCATACAGACTGAATGTTGTTGTCGTTATAATCATTGACCCAGACACCACTAACCTTTCACCCTCCTGATGGACCTCATATTTCATTATTCCAAATAAGGAGTAAGAGACTCCTGTTTTTTTTTGTGGTAGAATTTTTCAGTAGAAAACATGATGGCTGGCTGTTTCTTAGTGGAAGTGTTTAACGTTATGAAGCAGGATGGAATAGGCTTTTTACACAATTCAGTTAAAACTTTTATGGGGCATTATTTGTCCTTATTAAGGCAAAAATGACCATTTCGTCTCCCCTCTTGAAGTTGTCTACTGGGTCTGTTTTTTTTCAGTTTTTAAATGTTGTTATACTCTGCTTTTCCAGTGATGCTGATTGCTCAGTTGTTTGCCATTTCTCTTTCAAGTTTGACCTAGTTATTTGGTGGCAGGTTTTTTTTTATTATGGTCAAAGTTTAACAGAATTTTGTTCTTGGAATTTGGTCTGTTTTGCTAAAATTACTAACACACTTGAATTATACCTTTTGTCTGACTGATTCAAAATGTGTTTTTTTAACATTATATTATGGAAAAATTATACAGTCTTATTTACACTGCTTGTCACAACAACAATTCTCCTGAGGTATTTTCTGATGATTTTTTTTTTTACTGGTTCTCAAAAGTGGTCAAAGAAAGTTGCATTGCTTTTTCAATTCCATCAAGAGACTTTTCATTTCCGTGTAGACATATCTGCATAGGAAAACATAGGAAAAAAGCTAGGCTCACAGTTGCCTTTTGGGTTGGAAGTGTCACCAGCAGCAGAATTATACCAACTCAAAAGCCTTCTTGTAGATGCAATGCACTTAGGAGAGTTGGAGCTATCAACTTTTTTCTTTTGCTTTGTAGAAAAAGTTTTTCGAAAAGATTTACAAGTATGTTTGTGACTCCTCTTGCCTCCCATGAATTTATTGACTCGCTGGTATCCTTTTGCTAGAACAGCCTGAGCTCAACTAGTTTACAGAGACTTTGGCAATATATTGGATCTTACTGGATTTGTTTGTTTGTTTCTTTTATTTTCACTGGAACAAAAACAGGCTTGATGGAAGACCTCTGGTCAAATGTGATGCGGCTAGTTGATTGGGTTGTTTGTTTTGATTATAAAATATGTGATGTGTACAACTGGTGATGCTTGTTGTGCTATTTCTTCTTTGTTTATGATTTTGTTCATTTGTTCACGTCATTTAAAGAAGCAAGTGTGTTTGTTCTCCGTGTTTTGTAAAATGCATCGTGTTCTTGATTGTGGAAGAATGTTAGATAATATGCATAAGAGTGACCCGCCACAAAAGTTGGTTTTATCAGTGTGCAGGATGCTGGATTAGAAACTGTTTTGTGAAATTTGAGGAAAAGTATAGCACCCTGTAGTTTGTGAAATATTATGTTTATTTCATGTCAAGAAGTGGTTTTCTTCAGCACATTCCACTTGTCAACTTGAAGGACAGTTTGACAGAATTGACGTCTTTTTTCTTGTTTGAGAAAGTATAGCACGCAAAGTCAAAATTGTCCGAGATGCCCACCCTTTGTCGAGGAGAAAAGTTTTTGTCTTAGACAAGTGGACGTCTTGGATAATGTCATTGTAATATTTAAAAAAACTGCAAAGGAGCAAGTGGTTGTTTGTACAAGTGATTGTCTTTGACATGTGGCAGTCAGAGCAGGTCTGACTGTACTTGGTGTTGTGATTCAGTATTACTTATTCTCTCTGTATCTTTTGGCTTTCAGTTTGGAAATAAACTACAGAAAATGGAGCATGGAAGTTGTATTTCTATTCACTTTTCCTGTAAAATTTTTGGTACTTTTTGTGGAAAGGCTTGTAACGTCTAAACTCAAACTTATAACTTGATGTCTTTCTTATAGCAGGATGTCTTGACTTTTTTGTTTTACTACTACGGTATTTCTTCAATACTCTGTCACAACCTTCTTGACCACACGCACTTTCTGGATTTGTTTCAAGAACAAATGTATTTACTTGCAATTGCAGGTATGTTTGAATGTAATTTATTTTTTTGTACCGTTACTTTCTGCTGTTGAGGTGTCAGTTGTCCGTAATAATGGTGGCTATTATTTGCTAAGAAAATGAAAGTGTTATTTGAAGTTTCTTGCTGAAGTATTGTTCTGTGCCCCTGTACCCCATAGAAGAAGGGCCACTACACAATGGAAAGTATTTCCCCTCGATGACCTGATCTTTCCTTTGTACCACCTGTTTTCTTAGAGACTGCCAGGGCATTCTGCTAGCTCAGCCAGCTGCTACCATGCTGATCTGCAGCCATGGTTTGAATCCATGACTTACCGTTCTCGAACTCCAATTTTTTTTGTGGAGTTTTTAAGGCTCTCAACCCATTT